GTCCACACTTAGTGTTCGTAGCTGAAATGCAACACTTTTCGGCCTCTAGCTTTGGCTAGGAAGTAGCGACAGGGCTGATACCTTAACTGCCCTTACAGACTAATGGTCTGAGAGTACCCTGTGAGTGACAGCTTCCTACCTAAAAGCTAACTTGAAAAAAGTGGGGTAAAACCACTGAAAACTGTCTTCACACAGTGTACGTAGCTGAAATGCAACACTTTTCGGCCTCTAGCTTCGGCTAGSAAGTARCTAGAGTGCTGATACCTTAAAAGCACTTACAGACTAAAGGTCTGAAAGTACCCTGTGAGTTACAGCTTCCTAGCTAAAAGCTAACTTGAAAAAAGTGGGGTAAAACCACTGCAAACTGTCCACACTTAGTGTTCGTTGCTGAAATGCAACACTTTTCGGCCTCTAGCTTTGGCTAGGAAGAAGCTAGAGTGCTGATACCTTAACTGCACTTACAGACTAAAGTTCTGAAAATATCCTGTGAGTTACAGCCTTCTAGCTCAAAGCTAACTTGAAAAAAGTGGGGTAAAACCACTGCAAACTGTCCACAGTGTTCGTTGCTGAAATGCAACACTTTTCGGCCTCTAGCTTTGGCTAGGAAGTAGCTAGAGTGCTGATACCTTAACTGCACTTACAGACTAAAGGTCTAAAAGTACACTGTGAGTTACAGCCTTCTAGCTGAAAGCTAACTTGAAAAAAGTGGGGTAAAACCACTGAAAACTGTCATTTTGATTAAGTTCGTTGCTGAAATGCAACACATTTTGGCCTCTAGCTTTGGCTAGGAAGTAGCGACAGGGCTGATACCTTAACTGCACTTACAGACTAATGGTCTGAGAGTACCCTGTGAGTGACAGCTTCTTAGCTAAAAGCTAACTTGAAAAAAGTGGGGTAAAACCACTGAAAACTGTCTTCACACTTAGTGTCCGTAGCTGAAATGCAACACTTTTTGGCCTCTAGATTTGGCTAGGAAGTAGCTAGAGTGCTGATACCTTAACTGCACTTACAGACTAATGTTCTGAGAGTACACTGTGAGTGACAGCTTCTTAGCTAAAAGCTAACTTGAAAAAAGTGGGGTAAAACCACTGAAAACTGTCATTTTGATTAAGTTCGTAGCTGAAATGCAACACTTTTCGGCCTCTNTCATTTTGATTAAGTTCGTAGCTGAAATGCAACACTTTTCGGCCTCTAGCTTTGGCTAGGAAG